GCAGAGCTCCCCTTTTGCTCTTAGTGAGCGCCGTGACTCTTCTGCCGATTGTGCAGCCTGCACGCAAGGTCCGAAGTTTGCCACTTAGGTTACCTGGGCTGGTCCGTAATCGCCTCAAGGACCTTGGCGTGGATCCCGAGCTGATCGATTGTGAGATTCGATCTCTGGGTGAGGTCGTTGTCGGGCCCACCAACAACCGTTCCGTCCTCACTTCGATGACCGATTTCGCGCTTGCCTTACCTTATATGGTGCCGGGCTCAGGTCCGATAGGCGAAGCAGTGCTCAAGTCTATGGAAAACCAGCTTCAGAGCACCCCATGCAGAATAAGCTCGCGGCACTATGGTGCGGTGTTCCCAGAAGCGGAAACCAAGCGAGTATTGAATGATAGGTGGGGTTAGGCAAAGTCTCAAAGTGGCAGGATTGCACTAAATCTCTAGAAGGCTTAACTCGTGGAACCTTTAGGCTGCTCTTTCCGTTTCTCTCTTTGCTGGGTCCGATCCGCATGAGGATCGGGACCGAACCATCACGAGGAAAATATGCAAGCAGCTGAGAAGATATCGCCTCTGCGCCTTGGATCCGCCGTTCGAGTCCTAACCATCGGCCTTCTCATGTCGGGGGCGGGCCAATTGATGGCAGACCAAGCGATGGCAGACCAAGCGATGGCAGACAGTGGGCCTAAGCCGACGGCCGACCTCGATGGGCAGCTGAAGGCTCTGCACGCCAAATCCGATTTTCCGGGGTTTGCGGTCGCTATTGTCGACCGTGAGCAGGGGGTCGTGTACGAGAGCGGGTTTGGTTGGGCCGATCGGCAGAACCGAAAGCCTTTTACCGCTCAGACGGTGATGAATATCGGGTCGGTGAGCAAGACTTTCATTGGTGTGGCCCTAATGCAGGCCGTGGAGAACGGGCAGATCGATTTGGACGCACCGGTCGATCGTTACTTGGGTTTTTCAATTCGAAATCCGCGATTTCCCGACAAGCCCATCACGTTGCGCCATCTGGCCACCCATACCTCGGGGATCGAGGACCGAGGCTCCATTTATCGGAAAGCCTATTCGGAAGGCATGGAGCCCTCGATGGAGCTCGGCGAGTACCTGCGTCAATATCTGACGCCGGAAGGGCGTTGGTACAACCGGCGCAACTTCGGCAAAAATCCGCCGGGCGACGCCAGGGACTATTCGAATATCGGTGCTGCCCTAGCCGCGTACACCCTTGAGAAGGCCTTGGAGAAACCCTTCGACGAGCTGACTACCCGGTCGATTCTCAAGCCTCTGGGCATGGACGACTCGGGTTGGTCTTATGGGGATATTGAGCTCGACAGCCATGCTGTGTCCTACGACGGTGATGACATCGTTGAGCCCTATACCCTCGTCACCTATCCGGACGGTGGTCTCCGCACCAGCGTGTCGAGCCTCGGACGCTATTTGGCAGCGATTCTCAGAGGGGGTGTGCTCGGCGACGCAAGGATCTTGGACGGGGCCTCAGTAGAGGCCATGGTCGCGCCCCAATTCGATGCCCAGGATCCTCCAGAGGGCGCGGGCGATAAGAATTCGGGAATCTTCTGGAGCCTCGACAGCTCAGGGTTGATCGGTCATACGGGTGGCGATCCCGGAATTTCCACCATGATGGCCTTCGATCCCGAATCGGGTCGAGGATGGGTCTTCATCACCAATTGCGAGCTCAACAAGAAGACCGGCGGACAGTTGCGGGAGATTTGGAATTTGCTCAAGTCGACTCCCTAGCGTTGGTGCTATTAGGTAGGGGCGAATCTTGTATTCGCTCAC